GGCTTCAAGAAGCGGGGCTGGGTAAAATGTTACAGCAAAGGGCCTGGTTAGAAGCACAGAGGGGATCTGGCCTTCGTGCAATGGGATGCCATAGGAGGCAGATGTGCAAGAGCAAGACGGTGGGGCAGGCAGGAGGGTGCCGGAAAACACGCGATGAATCTCCTGGGCTGAGTGTTATCTTCCATTTCCTTTGAGAGCCCACAAGAGACGGCCTTCCCAAAGCAACCTCTGAGGTGGCCCGTCCCGCTTTTGTCTCCTTCAGCAAAAAAATTTCTGCCCCAGCGGCTCCGAACAAGGCTTCCATTAACTCCGTCCCCGCGAGGGCAGCACGTGGGACAAAAAGCCCAACACCGCGTCCCGGCCCTCAGACAAGCCTGGAAACAAACGGTGCAGGAATCTGTCAGAATAGAATCACCCGCTCGGTGTCACCGCATACATTTACCTACCTCAGTGCCTATTCAGGGCCCTTCCAAAAGGGCAACATTAACAGAGAGAGATCGGACACCATCGCTATAGCAACGTCACCGCCAAAAATTTATGGCTGCCCTAGCAAAGAGAAGCCTCTGGGCAGGGAGAGCTGTGCTGGTGCACAGCAAAGCCCAGGGCGCCAAAGATATCTGGACCCTGCACCTGAAAACAAGGAGGAAAAGCATAGATAAGAGTTCCAGTTTTCACTGAATCACAAATCACCTCTTTCTCCTCCAAAAAAAGTTACTGAAATTAAATGAAGTGTTTAAGTACTGGGGAAAAGAAAGGTGAGAGAAGCAAAGAAAGCTGTCAGCAAAAGCTGCAGGAAAAAAGTAGAGTCATTGCAATGAGAGCTGTGTAGAATGGAGGATATTGAAGTAGATCTTGCAAAATATCCCTTAACTCTTTAAATCAAGAGTGCTGATCTGCTGTTTACTGTGTAGGAACTGAGAATCGAGGTATGCCACAAACCAGGGAAGCACAGTGCCCCAGTTTTTGAATACAGAGATGTAAGCCTGAGAGAAGAGATCGGGTGGATAACGGAACCAAGCACAGGATACAGCATCATTCTGGAAAATCAGCCAATGCAGCCTCCATGTGAGTTTTACTGATTGCAAAGGCAGCAGCAACTCCATGTGCCCTGTCACAAGGTTTCTGTTCTCATGCAGTAAAGTTCAAGAGCAAAGGGGAAAGTAAACTGGACAGCTGCAGTTTGTGTAATTTGTTTGACTTGAACGGTATGGATATGTTTTAGGGCAAATGCAGGAGGACTGGCCAGCAGGTCTCTTCCATCACAGCACATGGGGCATGGAATGAAGCACGCAGGAACAAGATACAAAGCGAAGAAGAAATGGTCATTGTGCAAGCATTGGTACATCTCCTGTGAAACCCTTCCCCAAAGCATTCAAGGAGAGAGATCTGATCTCCTCAGACAACAATCTAAGGAAATCCCTGGATATGAAAACATAAAATTACCTAACTTGCCCAAAGCAGTCGGTGCCAATCACCTTTCTCTGACAAGGTAGGTGAGCGTGAGGTTTTTTCTACGTATGCTACAGTACCTCCATACTACACCAAATGGGAAGTGTTCTTGCTGAACTGGAGAAGACAGAACTGGTGTAAGAGTTGTAGGTGGGTACGAAAAGGAGTTGGCTGCAAGTGACCAGAGGGGATGGAGGTCAATGTGAGGCTGAGATAGGGAATTAATGGAGCACCTCATCAATAGGACTGAGGCACGTCTTTCTTTCAGTTATCGTTGATAACCTCAATGTGGAGGGTGATCCTAATGAAATGTTAGGACAGGGACAAAAGTTTTGGAGCACTCTCAAGAGGGAAAGAGACTCAGATGAGACAGAAGAAAAAAAAAATCAGATGGTTAAAAGGATTGGAGAAAGACAAAATTGACAACCACGTGCATAGGGTGCAACAGCAGGAGTTTCTGCACACACCTGGACACTCAGTAGGAAACAGAAGGAATACTCCTGGGTATATTACTCACACAGGCAGGCTGTGAACAAAGAAATGGAGATGAGAAGAGCCATGACAGCTATCACTCTAGGGACTGAATTAATAAGAGGCAGATAGTACAAGAAACCAGAACCCCGTTTATAACTCTGTCCTGAGAATGGAGTCCAGCTGACTTGTTGACTGCAGCCCGATCTCAGCTCACCAGGTGGGCTCCTGCAGGCTGAGCTGCCTGCCCTTGTGCTGTATACAGGAGCCAGCAGGGAAGCACAGAGCCCCTGCACACCTGACTTTGGCAGTCCCTCTTTTTCCCTGGAACTCCTCAGCTAGGAGAAATGCAGCAATCCTTCTTGCTCTGTGCATTGCAGGGTTTTTCCTAGAAGACATGGGGCAGCACAGCTGTCTGGCTGGGCACTGCTCTATTTGCTGAGCCCGGACGACAGAGAGGTTAAACAGAGAGGAAGATGCTTTTATGCTGGTGGCATGACCCAGCCTTTGGAATTGGGTAAAGCTTTCAGTGCTGGGAAAGCACTCCAAGCACTTGGAAATTGGAGTCTCAGGTGCTGAATTTTTAAGTTCAGTAGACAAGAACCATCACTTCTGGAAGGCTTGTCTAGATGCCTCACAGACACTTTCACTTCATGATTCTTGACAATTTACAGCATTGATCTGCATTAAAACCAAAGAAGAAAGCTCAAAATAGTCGCATAATTATGCTGCAGAGCAGCCTCTGATGACCTTCCATTAACATCTGCTCTGCACTGAATGCTGAACATCAATTCACACTAGTTATAAGAGCTCGGCATGTAGCTATGCTTAATAAGCCAGAGTGCTCAGTGTCTTACTGCTGCCCCGGCTGCAACTTGTCCACCTACACACCAGTGTGCTAGTGAAAGCATCCTGAATAATAGGGAACACTCAACAAGCTCTGCTAGAGTAATTCTTGGGTGGACATCTGAAGGAAAGAGCCTGAAGTGTGCACTGGAGCTGTGCCCTCACACAGACTTTTTGCTGAAGTAACACCTCCAGGTCTGAACTGTGCTAACTGCCTGAGCTCGCCCTGCCTGTCCAAGCTCTAGCTGGAAAGTAAAAATGCTTTTCCAACAGACATAGAGCAAATGACTCTGCATTGCTACAGATGCAGCCTTTCATCCCTTCTAAACTTGCATAAGGAGTTTCAAAGCAAAGCAACTGCAGTTACTGCAGTCACATGTAGAGATCTCTGTCTGAGGATAATGGCACATTCACATAGCTAAAAAGCACATCTACAGTCACCAAAACACCTGTAAGTCAAGCCTAAGGCATATTCAGCACTCCAACGCACCACAAGTATGACTCTCAGGTTCCAGTGTCAGCCCCCCTTATCTGCCATTTAATGAACTGCCAGAAGACTCCTGCCTATGCCTGCATGCCTGCTCATTCTCCTGGGTTCTAGCCTCCTCTGTCTGTCCTTCTCTAGGGCACACAGCTCTCACAGACTCAACAGATTCCTCTCTCTCCTCACTCTTCCATGCTTCCTAGGGCTCAGGCTCCCATAGCTCCATTACATTGGGATCAGCATCAGCAAGTTCTATGCTCCAGGATCCCTCAGGAATGAGAAAGGGACATGGAAAAAAAATAATAATTCCAGGAGAAACTCCAACTGCATTCCATCTAAGACTTCACATCCACAGACAACGCGTATCACAGCTCATAACAACAAACAGCCCTCTCCAGATTCCTGCCAAATACTTTTACAGCGCAGTACGGTCACTCCTTGGTCTCAGTTTCTGCCCTGCCAGATTTACAGGATAACCTCAGCAAAGTGATTCTCTCAGTCCCAGTGGTAGGAAATATTTAGAGGCTGATGCTACATGTGATAAACAGCCCAGCCCTTGGCAGCAGTACTCCAGACCCTTCCCCTCAGCTGTGACCGCAGCTTCTCCTTATTAAGCTCTTTACGTCATTAAGTGGCCCCACTGGGAACAGCAGAAAGCACAATTGGGAACATTAATGAAGATCTACAGCATTACAAGAAAAAGCTCAATGAATCAACACCTCGTGCCTTATTCCCATGGTCATGACCTGTCCCCATTAGTAAGAGGAGAGGATTTGAAACAGGAGAAACCTCCCCTTCTCCTCTTTCCCCCTCGAGAGTCCTGCCCTGCTCAGCACTAATGGCTGCTTGCAGGCCACAGAGGCAGCTCTGGCTGACTTGCTGCGCTGCTGCACCCATGTCTCAGACCTCACCCAAATGCCGTCCACCCCAGCAGCTGGGACCCGTGCTGCCTCTGTCACACATCCCTTTTCCAGCTGGCAGCAGCTGCATTCACCGTCAAAGCAAAAAAAAAAAAAACCCAAACCCCTCTCTCGTGACAGAAAGGAGCCATCATTGGGCCCCAGGGCTCAGAACTGCAATCAGCAAGAGATATGAGGCAGAAAGGGAGGATTAAGAGATTTTAGGCTGCTTTAGGAAAACCCACAAAGCACGTATAAGACACTGGCTCACACAGATGAGAAGCAGGTCTTACCTACTGAAACAATGATCTGAAGCACATGTTCAAAGTATACCACAGGAACCCCGGTGCACAGCCAGGGGATTAGGACCGGGCTTTACACCTGCCTGCATTCACTCACAGCTGGATTCATATACACACCAAATAGTGCAGGAGCTGGAGGGACAGGGAGAGGGCAGGGGGTATGGTGAGAAGCCCTGCAATTGCGTGTCAGGCCCATGAGAAGTGGCCATGCCCTGCATCCCCTGCAGGCACCTCACTCCACAGCACCCGTCCCATGTCCCATGTCCCATGCAGAGCTCTGGGAGCAGGGCCTGCTTGAGGTTCCTGCACCAACACCCTGAGGGCAAGGGGCTGTCTGTGGGAACAGACCGATGTGTCTCTGCACTGCGTCACACTGTAGGGACATTTCTACTCTGGGAGTAGAGGGAAGGACTACACAAAACAAAATATGCATTTCTTTGCAAGGGGTTTCTGCGCGGGGATGAGCTCCCTCTCCAGCAGTGACATCACGAAAGCAACACCCTGCAGCAAGCTAACAATTGACCTGTGAAAGCACGGAACACTTCCCACCTGGCTTTTCCTGAGGTGCAAATCACAGCTCCTGCTCCCTCCAGGCTTCTCCTGGCGCCTGTGGGTCAGCAGCAGCACGGAGGCAGGGCAGGGCATGCTCGTATCACGTGTCCTATGGCTGTTCACATGGTGGCGGTGGCTGTTCCTTGCAGCAGAGCCGGATTTCAGCTGTCTTGGCCTCTCTGCTGAAAAGCACAATGAAGGAGCCAGTCAGCAACAGTGCATGCCAAAATACGCCTTTAATGCCGGTACAGCAACCGGTGTTGTTCCAGAGGTCCCCCTCTCCCTTCACAAACACCTCGAGAACAAAATGCAGTGCTGAGGCCAGGAGCCCAGCTCATGCTGTCTCATTATCTTCTCAGCCTCGTTTAGTCTTTGTCTCTCGTGTAGATGGTGCGCTCTCAGGGGCAGTGACCATGACTTAGTTCACTGAGTGCCAGACAACTGCTGGAGTTCAGTTAATGATGAGACAACTCCCATAGATCCATTGTCTTAAGAGGAAATTTTGGCTAAGTGAGGACTTCAGGGATTTACCCAATAATAAGTCAGTAATTCAGGATGCACTTAAAGACACATTCAGTGCGCCTTTGCAGCAACATCCTTGGGAAGAGAGCATTTGTACTCCAGAGCACAACTGTGAGGAAGTCTAATATTAATTAGGAAGCAAATTCAAGGGCTGTGAATAGGTCCTCATAACAAAAGATCTTTTATTGAATAACTGTAGAGGAGTGCAATGCCAAAGTTTTCGTGCCAAAGTAGCAATAAATGAACTGCAGTTAATGCCTTTAGGACCAGTCTGTAAATTCAACATTAAAGAAAATAAGAAACTTCTGAAAACATCTTTTAAAAACCATACAATTAAAAAAAAAAGAATGAATATAAACTTAGATAAAATACATAGGTTGATTCAACCTGTTTCAGCTGATAAACAGCGTGGTACTCGCTCTGTGCCAAAGTGACACTTGACCTCTATATATCTTCTTAATGAAGTCAGCATAGAAAGACACCCAGCGAGCCTTTGTAACACTGCAAGCGAGTTGCAAGCTGGGCTTCACTAATGGGAGCTGTCACTTGGTTTTTTCCAGGTCACAAACTAAGAAGAGCAATTAAATCAAATTGGAGGCTGCACAGATTGGAGCAAGCCTCAATAGACCAGGTACCTAAATCATTAAAGACGTAGTTCTTTTCCATGATAAATTGTTGGGGAGAGTGAAACGTGCTGCTGGTCATTAATCTAGGCTAATCAGCTTGAAAGCTGGGTTGTTTTATTTAGTAATTAACTGGTTATTTGAAAAAAATGATACATGGCCTATAGAGCTGCCATCCAGCAGATAATAACGTGGAGCAATGGGGAATCTCTTGAGGGCAATTCGTGCCTTTTCAATTACAGCCATCGGCAAACTCTGAAAAATGGCTCTTCGTGTGTATTGACACGTAGTAAAGAAACACACTCCAATGAACGTAGCAGGCATCTTGTTGCATGCTGGTAATTGCTCCGGCCTACCCCTTACACAAACCTCACTACAGCAAGGAAAACATTTTAGGGGTGTCCTTTTCATGCCTTGGATTTACAGTTAGTTTTTGTTGTACCCTTCTGCTGGAAGCGAGGAAGAAGAGCTGCTGTGTGTCAGTGGTTTGGTTTGCAATAAGGAGGGGCCCAGCATTTTTCTTTCACAGGTAGGGGCTGTCTGCTCACACCAACACACAGTAACCATTCGGAACTTCTCCAGAAGTGCTCCATGGGATACTCAGCCGGCTGAGACTGAGCACAGTGTTAAGTGAAGAAGCTGAATCCTATTTCCTGGGAACATGCTGAGCAGGAACACCAGTCAGTCAGTCCCTGCTGTCCCACATGTTTATTGATGGACAAAATACTCAGGACTGGTTGTCCATCTTGATGCTGCAGCAAAATCAGAGTGAGTAAAACCAAAGTCTTTTTGCAGGAACGCACTGTGGGAACAGTGTGGCTCCCTTCTAACTGCAGTAACTAACCTGTCCCATCTGCCTCATCGGTGAAAGGTCGCCATCACCCATACCCAGCCACATCTCTGTTCTGCTTTTTACACGTAGCCCTACCAGTCATTTTACACAGGGCACCTAGACATGTATGCATAAGCAAATAGTTCTCTCTTGTTGCTTGCAACAGGTACTTTAGCCTCACCATCAGTTGCTTCCAGGTATCTATAAAAAGCCAATGCAGGGCTCATGCAAGGAAACCACACGTTCCCAGAACAGATTTTTGTCCTTTGTTAAATATAAAAGACAGCAGGGAAGTTAATTTTGCTAGGAAAAGCCTCTGAACAAATCCATAAAAGAAAACCTTACTAGGTTTTATTAAATACAGAGACAAGAGCCCTGGCTTAAGAAATTCCTGAACCGTGTGTTGCTGGCAGACTACACTGAAGTATCACGCATACTTGTCCTGTTTTTCACTATGTCCCAGGCATGTGCTGCTGGCAACTGTAAAGACAGGATACTGGGCTACCCAGACCACTGGTCTGAAGCAAAATGACTGCTCTTTTGTTAGGTTTGTTCTCTCTCTCAAGATTCAGAGGAAAAGAGATGCACGACTGAAACAGCAGCAGTAGAAAGGAAGGGCAGTACCATGAACAGGTGGGGAAGCACTGTGTAGAGCGATGGCTGCATTGCTCAGTGTTTGGATCTAAACAACTGTACTTCAAAAATAATTGCTCTTTTGAGCAATCTTTGGTGGATATAGGTGAGGGGAGAGAAGAAAGAGCCCGTTCAACGGGGCAGGAAGCAGTATCTGCCATGCAGAAACAGCATCCACCACGCATACAAAGCTTGCAAATGCAGGCTGTACAGAGTTATTAAACCTGGTTGTGGGGTCGGGAGAGCCTCAGAGACAGCAGCAACCCGCGGTGCCAGCCCAGAAAGCTCCAGCCTGCTTAAAAAAGCACCCACTAATGAAAAACTTTACCAGGAAAGCAGATCACATCAAGGCCACACAGAAGCCTCAGATCCTTTAAGCTGTGCTTTGAAGACCGGTGGTGACAGACCGACAGATAAAGGCAAGGTCACAGGCCATCTAGACCCCCTCCAACATACCGTGCAGCTGAGTTGCAAAAAAGAAGAAAAATCATTGTTGCTATTTGACCAAACATTATAAACTAAAAATAGCTGAATATCTCTGATTAGGAGAATTCCCAGGGCTTTCCATTCTTGCCACTTGGGGTCCAATTTTTCTCTCTTTTATTATGGGCATTAGGCTTTGGACAATACCAAAGCTACAGAGGGCATATGTTAAGTTAGTCTAAGCCTGCACCACGCAAACCTTTGCACCCTGTAAGCTACTTTGTCGAATATTTCTGTCTCCGAATGAGCCGTAAAAGGCGCAGTTGTTCTGGCAGCAGCCAGCACAGCTCACATTAACAAGTTTCATGAGTATAATTTTCAACAGTATTAATAATTGTCCTCATAAAAGTCCACGGGAGGAACTTAACGGGCTAGACTGTTTTTATTTCCATGAAATTCCTGCTCTTTTAAAAAGAATTCTCCACGCCTGGACTTAATATTCTCTACATTCAGACCTCAACCAACTCTTCTCAGACACAAACTTTCTTGCTTCAACTATGCTAGCGCCAAATGAAAAGTTTGGCCAGATCCTGCAAGTTGGGTTGAAAAAGTGAAAGATGAAAGGGGTGCACCTGCCAGTCAGTCCCCTCAGATGGGCAGGTGGGGCTCTGGGCAGTCATTAGCTCGCAGCAAGGATTTTATTTTGACTGCACTTTTTATTTTGACATCAGCCATTGGGAAGGCCCATGGCACGCTCTGTTCCACAGAGGACGGTAGCGGGCTGGAGTTGTCCTCTATGGGTGTAAAGCATGATTCAGTTCCAGATCAGGATCTTGGGCCTGAAGTCAGGCAGTGGAAGATTCCTATGCTGTGCTTGTTGTATGCTTGGCTCATTCGGCAAAGCAGAGTGCCCTCCCCACGCACAGAATAGCCAGATTATTGAAAAGCAGCAGTACAGAACATTATGGCTGAAGCTGAGATAGTCTACTTAGAAACCAAGCTTCAGTAACTTTGTTTATGCACACAGGGAACTGAATTACTAACCTCTAAGTTCAGCACGCAGTCATAATTAATGCTCTGAGGAAGCGCTCAATTCAAGATGGTTCCTAATTCAGCAGATAAAAAGCAGAATGAAACCTCAGCACCGGAAGCTACAGCACAGACTTAGACAAAGCAGAGTGCTAACGTTTATCAGTGAGGGTAATAAGCCTAGCAAATTTACCTGCTGACAAGATCCATCACAGAGAATTGTTTCATCAGACCTCTGTGTTTCTTTCTTACAGATCTCTTAGCCCGGACAGAAGTTAGAAGCTTGGTGAAGATGATCACAGTGGCAAGTTCTGGTCTTTACTACCTGTGAATATCAAATGGTAGGAATAGAAATACACATAACAAATTGCATGCAAACAGGTAAGGGAATTTTATTCCTTCCCTAATGTCTCTAAATTGCTCAAGAAAATAAGAAGATAAAGAAAAAACCGGGATTGGATCAAATATTTCCTGCCAAGAATGACCAAACCCCTTTGATTTCCAGTGTCTGTGGAAGCAAGCAGCAGGAAAACCTGCACATAAGTCAGAGGACCCAAGCAACACTGAGCAAACCTTAAAACCCAAGATCAGTCTTGACGAAACAAACCCAGCTGACCATCTGTATGCATTACACAAGATCTCTCTTGGAGACCAAGCAAACGCATCACCCCAGGTGTATTTTAGACCTCACAGGTTTTCGGATTATTATAAATCAAATCAATGTGTTGATTCAAATCAATGTGTTGATTGAAATCTAACTTGTAAACGCTGGCTTGAGAAGTTACACAGCTAGCTGGCCAACCCTTTTCTCTTTATTATCACCTAAAAAAGCAGTTTTCTGTGTGGGTGTTTGTCTGGGACTGTCTTTTCTGAGTTAATCCTTGCCTCAATTGTTCATTGCAGTAATTGCAAGCAAACTGCACAGCCTTGTGGAATCGCAGCGATGACCCTAACTAATGGGAATGACATTGAGGGACCTGAATATGG